GGGGCCCGTCCCTGAAGCCGTGACTGGTTTGTTTCTAATTGACACGGGGAAACACTGACGGCGCTCCGCAAACTCGCCGTGAATTGCTGCGCATCCCCAAAACATTCCTGAAGTCAACCCTTAGAAATATACATGGCAATTTAATTTAACACGCTTGCGGCCAGGAGGGGGGGCGGGGGGGGAGGTAGAACTCCAGCGAGAACATGTAGATCGTGTCTCTCCTGCTGTTTGTTTCGGATTCCCATTGAAAAGCAAAGGCATTTGTTTGTTTGTTTGTTTATGTTTATATTAATATATAAATTATTAAAATCCCCTTGGCATATGGATTGCTCACCCAGTTGTCTGCAGGAAATACTATGCAGATCCTCTTGACATCTTTCCAAGGGTAAAATACAACAGCCTATGTGCACGTGACATTTCCCCATCTGATCTAGTCACTACACAGCACAGAGCCACCATTATGAAATAGTAATCTCTTAACCTTTAGAAGTAGTAGTCCCTGTAGCTGCATCTGCTAGGGCTTTGTTTATTTTGGTTTTCTACTTAAGTGGCAGTAATGAGATTTTATGAGTTCTCAAAGGTTTTTATGGGGCTCTCAACTACACTTTTTTGTGCATTAACACCACCATTTGTCTAATTTTTGAGTTTATCATAATGTCTCACTTCAGTCTGTTCCTTCACGAGAATTCTTCCTTTTTCAAGAGGGGATTAATAGAGGCCTATGAATAAAGAAAGTGTTAGACAATAATAGAGACGTATATACAAGTGAGAAAATACTGTATTACTGTGTCCCAGAGGAAAACTGATAGTTACATAGTGCACCTGAAGCAGCCTGTTCCCAGGAGGCTCTTGTGAGAAGGAATTAAGCGGAGGAATTCTTGATGCAGAAAACAAGTCAAGGTGAGAAGAAACTGCATGTCACAGCTGCCACATGCAACCCCAGCCTGCACTGCCACAGCTGCTACCCCCTGCCCTGTCTTTTGTACCAACCCTCCCCACAGCTAGAGAACCACCTGCACCACAAAGTTTTGTCCTGACAGGATCACACACCTTGGGACCTGGGCGCAGAACCTGGTCCTGATGGTAATGTGGGTAATGTGTGTTTCTGGGCTGGCATTCAAGAATTACCCTTTGCACAGCTGCACACATACCTACACATCCTTTTATCCATCAGCAAACCCCAGGCATGGAGCAAGGACAGGACAGCCACTCCACACCTGATCTTCTTAAGTGCCTGGTACTTAGAGATGCTCTTACAGCTAATGGAAACCACAAACCCTTTGCACCTTGAAAGACCTGGGCAATGAACAGCAGTAACAGAGCACATCACAGGGAAGGCTTTTTTGCTCAGTGAAGTTTCATCTCTGTTCTGACCTGGAAGATAACAAGGGCTGTGTCTGTGAAGCAATGGATATGGCATGTATCTTCTCTTGCTGTTGATTGAGAGGGCCCTGATCATCTGACAAGAGAGGCTGTAGTCTGAAAGTCTTTGTTTTCTCACTTTATATATTCGGATGGCGTGAGTTAAACAGCATATTTGACTCTGGGTACTGTTGCAGCTGAGTGCTGCAGACATTGGTTTCATGAGCCCTCCACATGCAACCAGGACAATTAGGCACTAATGCTCTATTCTAAAAGAGTGTTCCCATAATACTGTACCTACAAATAAAAAAGATGGAAATAAAGAAAATCTAGATTAAAGCAAACCAAGTGGACTAAAGTATATAGACTGTACTTTAAAATAATTTGCTTTGAATCTATTTACACAACATTTACACACAGATTTTGACGGGTAGGAGATCTGTTGTCATCACTTGTAAATAACAGATTTTATGGTCTGTTACTCAAGAACTATTCATAAATAAACCAACACACCCATTAGGAGTTCTAGATTACAAATTTCACACTGTATACCCAGGGGAAAACTTTTTTCTGTTACTTGTATAAACAGAAGTCCTCTTATGCTGAGAACAAATAGTTCTCAGTTCTACAAATATTTATGGCGAAACTTAGATACAAAGTTACGCTCGTTGACATCAACTGGTGAGACTTACATGGACAGTGAAAAGTTTGCTTAACAGGAATTATCTGCTAAAGACAAAGCATACACAAAGTAGGTAACTTTGTATTTTGTTCGCCAATTTGTTACCATAGGTGGACAAATGACTCTGAGGAGTATCACACTCAAGTACCATATGAGCTTGCTCCTTTACAGGGAAGGAAAGACCTGCTTTCTAGTACTGGTTTTATAAAGTGGAGTTTGGAAAAGCACACCAGAGCTGCACGCTTCATTTACTG